AGTCTTCTTGCAGTTGATATTTACTCTTTTCATTTCGTTTCCCTTCACTACCTTCTGTAGGAATTTTAATTTTTTTTTTTTTGCGTCTGCTATCAACACTGTGTCATCTGCATATCTTATGCTATTAAGATTGTGGCCACTAATAATGAATCCAGGTAGGATCTCTATTTCTCTCAGAATCACCACGCTGTATAGGTTGAATACGTCCGGTGAGAAGACACATCCTTGTCTTACACCCCTTTTAATTTTTGTATATCTGCTGAACTCATTTTCTATCCGTATGCAGTCGGTTTGCTATCAGTATAGGTTCTTGATTATTCTAATATCATTTTCTAATATATCAAGATTGCTGAGAAGTTCCAATAGATCTTTGTAGCGTACTTTATCGAACGCCTTTATGTAATCTATAAAACACAGGTACACGTCCTTCCGCATTTGCGTTGCTGTTTCTGATAACATTCTGAGCATAAATATCGCGCTCCTTTTTACAATGTCTTTGACGAACGCGCGCTGTTCCTGACCCATTTCCGGTCTATTCATTAGAATTCGGATGGTAAGTTTCGTTATATGGCTCATTAAGCTGATTGGAACCCTTTGAGTCTTCTCAATTATAAAATCCTTCCTTATGGGCAGGTCCCTGTATGTAGTTATTAACGCCCAGTCCTCAACACATATGTCCCCCAAGTCTCGCTTCTCGGTCCAACACACTAAATCTACTTTACATAAATGATTTGCCTAAGATCTTTCATGGATAGCTATGCTGATGATATAACGGTATATGGATGCACCTCCAAAACCTTAAATGACCAGAGCCTGGTAGCTGATCTTTTCTCTGATCTAGCTCTAACAGCTCAGTGGGGAAAAACTGACTGGTCATATTCAATGCTTCGAAAATCAAACTAGTGACGTTCCATCATTACTGAGCGGACTCTGGATTTTCGCCTATCACGATGAACGTGTGTTCTCTCAGAGAACCTTAAAGTGCCTATTGGGACCCAGACCTCAAGTGGAACTTTTACATACATCGCTAAAGATGCAGGAAAAATTATCGGTTCTCTGTACTGTTCCAGTAAATACCTGACTCCTCCTGCTATCCTCTACCATCACAAGAAGCAGATCAAGCCGAAAATGGAGTAATGCTGCCATATATGGGTAAGAGTTGCCCGCTCTTCTCTTCTCAGTCTCGATAGAGTTCAAAGGTGTCTGTGTATCCTTGTGTTGATTATTTTCCACCCTACAACACTTTTCCCACAGGCGAAACGTTGCAAATCTCACGCTATTCTATCGCTATTTCCAAGTATTGAGACGAACTACATTCGTTAGTTTCACTAGTTCTAACCTTCACGACTAAGCTACGCACTTTAACGAACCATCTTAATTCCCTTCGTATTCCATTAACGTAATGTAAGTTCCACGAACCGCTACTTTGTGTAACCAACACCTAAGAGGATGTTTCTCCGATCACTACAATCTTAAACTTTTCAAGTTTAGGGTTAGCCGGTATCTCCCCCACACATCCTCATAGAACGGTGCTGTTTACTCTGTAACCCTTTACTTTGAGTGACTTTTGGGCCTTGTACAGGGTGAACATTATTGTAAAAATATGAAAGTGGGAATTATTTGAGTCTCCTGAGAACTTCTTGTTTGATAACTAAATATACAAAATTTTACTAATGTTGTGGACAAAACGTTGGCTTGAAGAGTGATAAGAACGGGTTTTTAGTCATGGTGAATTTGGCTATTTCTTAACTGTTTCTACTTTAATCAGTTTGTCATGTTAGCGACACGAAATTAACTCTAAAGTTCATGCCTCCTATTTTGTTATCTTGGTCTACCATGTCAAAAGTTGATATTGGTGGTATGCTAGTAGAAGCAAGCTAAGTTTGAGATTGGTTTTCAAGGAAAGATTAGATAAACTTAGGTATACTCCAACATATAAAACAAAACAAATATCAAAATTATAATCTCTGAAGAAATGATAAATTAAAGAAGATTTTAAAATCAACAATAACATGCATTTATTTATCACTTAAAATACAGGCAAAGACCTGAACGGTGAAAGAAGCGGATCATGATTACAACAGATCTCAACGGTTGAACCAGCGGATAAAGAGGACTAACTAAGCATGACGGATATGCTAAAGAAAGTGACACACGAAATTATAACAGAGTTAGCAGTAGTCTGTTGCAGTTTCGTAACTGGATTGTGAATGTCTTATTCCATATGTACTGCAGAGGAAGGTCATAAAATCAAATATGTGGGTCACTTTCTGGCAAATTGAGGTCCACCTTAAACAGATTCACGACATCAGAACTTTCTTCTCTGATTTTCTTTCAAACTCGACTAACTCTTGCAAAGCCAAACGGAGATAGGGAATGGATGATGGGGAGAGGTTTTAGTGAAACTGGAAGCTTCTAGACCTAAACGTTGGAGGCGAATTTAGTCATCAACGCGATCATTAAGCGATCAGCAAAGAAGAAAACAAATTCTTGCACACAAGATAAAGCGGACGACGACGAGTAAAGAAATGGCTGTTCGGTACCAAAATAAAATTTCGTTGACGGGAATAAAGTTGTGAAGTTGCTTGCAAAAGAAGGTTTACTGGTCAGCCGGTTACATCTGGAAGTCGTGTGTAGTCCAACTTTAAGGAATTATCAAAATTGGACTGAAAGATTAATAAAGATGAGTAGCTCCTACTGTCACCTCAAGTGAACCACTGATTTTTACCCTGATGTCCGTCTGTATTTAAGGAGCTAAAGTGGATTCTACGAAAAGTTGGAAAATTAGTGTAACGGTGGCCTTACCATTAACAAGAAAAAAAAATGGAATTGACAAGCAAAAAATGGAGATATGGCGTGATTGAGATAAGTATGGGTTTTTATTTCCCATGATTTACAAAAAATTTCCGGAATATCGTATATCAGTCGTGGGAAACTGAGAGTTGTATCAGGATGGAACACAAAGTAGTTATCAATATAGACACATGGAGAAAATCAGCAAGCATGTATAGTCAAGAAATAGTCGCTGGTCGAAAACATCGCTGTTGATGGAATCGTGGGGTCCATCGCTACTGCTGGCCAGGTTGGGTCTGCCTCTATGGGTGAAATCGGCATTGACTTTATAGTGAGTCAGTGGCTCAGAAACGGCTGCTGTTAAAAACCGCGTAGTTAGTCAGAAACGATGTTTTATGACTCTGGTATTTTGGGGCAGTATTCCGGAAATGGGTGTCATATGAGCTGTGAACGTCGAAGGAAGCACTTCCGTTTGAGTTAAAGAATTGGAGTTCAAACAGGATACGACACTGGATTATGAAATGCCGTATTCTGATTCGTTATAAAATTTGTTTTGTGTTTGCTTATTTATATATTTTCGCCATGTTCTCGTTGACAGTAGCTGAGATTTCTAAGGATCCAAACAATTAAACAAAAGTGATTTAATCGTTTATATAGTTTGACTATCAAGTAGTAAATATGAACATTACATGATAACCACTGCACAGAAATATCGACTTCTTGGGAAATATTTTTATTTATTTATTTATTCATTAACTTAAGAACCTGTTGGTTGAATCAAATAGCACAAATTCCTCTCACTTCTGTCTCAGTAGCAAATCCGGCAGACCTGACAAAGTAAATCTGACAACTGCTCTTGAAAGGGACTTTCAATCAGTGATTAACTTGAGCAAGAAATGGCTTGTAAATTTTAACACCTCCAAAACAAAACTGCTTTCATTTAACCCCCATAGAGAAACTTTTCTGCCTGCCACCAGCATTCTTTCTTTCTTTTTATGTGTCATGCCTTTTCAGGACGTAGGCGATCATGGCTCTCCACATCCCTCTATCCCTTGCATCTCTCAATAAGTTCTTTTCCTCTCCTCTGCTCTGCTTCATCCCCCAGACCACGTTCTGCCACCCACTTGCTTAAGCCCGCCAGGTATATCACGCGTTGTTTTCCCTTGTCTCTCTTTCCCTCTATTCGACCCGTGAGTATCAGATTCTCCAGACCCTCCTTCCTCGTTATGTGTCCCAGAAATTTCAGCTGCCTCTTCCTGATGTTAAGTATAAGCCTCTTCCTTTTTTTCAACCTCTCTAAGGCCTCATCGTTGCTCACACGCTCAGTTCATGATATATAATTCATGGTTAACAACTCAGATTATGCCACCAGCATAGCTGATGCTAAACTCCAGGAAAGCAACACATTATGCCTTCCTTTTCCACTGATATGAAGTGGAGTTACTATATCGAATCAATTGCTACGTCTTCTGCAAGGAAAGTTGGTTCACTGTGTCGTACCAGACTATTTTTTATCGCCAGGATCCATCTTGCACATTTATAAATCTACGTCCGTGCATTGAATACTGTTGTCATATCTGGTCTGGGGCTCCTGCTGTACATTTCGGAATTCTTGACAAAATCCAAAGAAGGGTCTGTAATATAATCGATCCTGACTGGGCATCTCGGCTTCAGTCACTTTCTCATCGATGTAACATGGCTTCCTTTAGTTTTTTTTTTTTTAATAATTATTTTCATATCAACTGTTCTGATAATTTTTTCCCTAGTGCCTCAACTATATGAATTTAAACGTCCTACTAGATTGGACACTTGGTTTCACTGTTTTATTGCTTGATGCAACCGCAACTTCAGTTCCTTTTCTCGCACTTCCCAAATGTGGAAATACTTTCAGATTTCTTGCTTCCCTGATAACTTGAATCTTCAAAAATTTAAATGCAATGTCAATCGCCATCCTGTTCCTTTCCTCAATCCTTCCCATATCCAGTCTTCCCATTCTTTTTCACTTTCACTCCCTGTACCCCCGGCTACGGTCTAGTAGCATTATTGACTAGCTTGGGGTGAAACGAGTTTAGATAAATGATGTCTGCTCCTTTTAAGAGGTGAAGAATTAGTAATAAGCGACTTAACATTGAGAAATCAACACCAAACATAAGACAAAATTACAAATACAAATACCGGCACGATTACATTATATTACCTTCACTGATATGGTGGTTACTTGTTGTTTTTTGGGGGTTTTTTGTTTTGTTTTCTTCTTCTTCTTCTTCTTCTTCTTCTTCTTCTTCTTCTTCTTCTTCTTCTTTGTGTCGTATCCCTTTAAGACGTTGGCAATCATGGCTCTTCAAAATTTCCTGCTCGTTGGAGCTCTTAATAAATTTTGTCTTTTTGTTACATCTCTTAAACCTTGTTCCGCCATCCATTTACTCAAGCTCGTTAGGTCAGTTATGTGTTGTTTTCTCTGTCTTTCTTGCCTTCAATCTGTCTTGTAAAGATCAAATTTTCCAAGCACACTTTCCTCATTATGTTGTGCCCTAGAAATTTCAACTTTCTCTTTTCATGCTAAATCAGAAATGTGCTTTTTATTTCCATTTTCTTTAAAACTTCGTCGTTACTCACATGTTCATTCCGTGGTTTCCTTCTGTAGAACCATATTTCTATTGCTTCAAGTCTCTTCTTCATCTTTGGGGAGATTGTCCAGTATCCACTGCCATATAGGAGAGCTGATATTATGTAACAGTTCAGTAATCTTTTCTTTGTTTGTAAATAAAATCTTGTATAAAAATTCCAGGCGGAACGTTTATTTGAACCGGCATGCGTACTACTCCCGAATCCATTCGACCTGGGAGAAGCCTGTTGGAGGGCCCCGGGCAGTGATTTGTGTTCCTCGCTATCTTAATAACATTTGCTTTTTTTTCTACCGACATTTATATACGTCAAAAATTAAACTAAGTACAACTATTAAAGGATGAAAGATTTTCGTTGATTTTGACGTTATTCTGTAGTCTTTTCTTTTTCGTCCAAATCCATGAATTTGTTTTGTTCATGCTAAATCTCAAAAAAGCACCATATAAAATTCACTATTTTTTTATCCTTAATGTTGAATGTGTTAAAATTATTCAACATTATAACAATAAAAATCTCAAGTTGATGTTAAAAATTGCTGCAAAACATTATTGATTTATTTAAGATGGAATGATCTATTATGACATGTCTCTAATTTCTATTTAGATACATTGTAATTATTTTCAAATTTTCCAGTTGAATTGTTCACCTATATTGCATATTATCCATTTATTGTACATAATTAGATTACAATGAAATTTAAATTTTATATGAATACTACCTTTTGAAAATTGAGCTGTAGTAGTTTCATTATCATAGATTCGGAGTAGGGCATGCTTACTTTATAAGTAGAAGAAAATTCTACCGGCATGAATATTGCAGACGGCAATTTTATTTGAAACGAAAGAATACATTTTCATTATATTAAAAGGGGAAGAGGCTGTACCTTACAGATTGTCTACAATTGTTAACAGTGTGTTGTAAAGTATTCTTATTTCTATTCTTCGTGGTTTACTGTTCGAAATTCCCTTCAGTTTCATAAGTTTTCAAAACGAATGGTAAATTCTGCCAAATGATCTTTCGTTATGTTTAAATGGATAGATAAATTAACTTTAGTAAGTCTCAATATCGGATTGAGGAATCGGAGAGCCCAGTTCGAATTCCAGTCAAATCCATTACATTCATTTACCCTTGGGAAAAGGTATGAATCCTTTTCTCTCCCCCCAGTTATGGGTAAATAGCAGGACAGACCGGGTTCTATAGCTTTGGATGGCGACTGGTTTACCGCCGAAAGAAATGGCAACCTACTGCTGGAAAAAGCTGCCTCGTCAGTCATGTATCGAAAGATACATGATCGCCTAAGCATGGCACATAACTGAAGTCTCGAACTTTCTACTTTCATAATAGAATGGATCATCGTATATATAACCGCACACATATACGTACATACGGCCATAACTGAGTATATCAAGTTCTTGATAAGCTGTGGCTCTAGATATCTCGAAGGTAGTTGACAGTGTTTGGCATACTGGTCTTCTACGTAAGCTTCAGGGCTACGGTATTACAGGACGAGTATTAGATTTAATCCAATCATTCCTATCAAATCATGAAATGAAGGTCATCCTGAACGGGCACCCTTCCAGTTCCTTTCATACGAACGCGAGTGTTCCCCAAGGCTCTATCCTTGGTCCTACGCTGTTTCTGATCTTCATCAGTGATCTTCCTGATGTCATCAGCTCTCAAGAAGGCATCTATGCAGATGACACTACCATTTACTAATGTCTCAATAGTAAATCCGGCAATGCTGACAAAGCTAACCTGGCCGTTGGTCTTAAAGACGACCTCCAATCAGTGGTTAACTGGAGCAGGAAATGGCTTGTAAATTTTAATGCCTCCAAAACGGAACTGTTCTCATTTAACACCATAGAGAAACTTCTTTTCCCGCTATCAGCATGGCTGATGCTCAACTCCATGAGAGCGGCTCACTTCGCCTTCTTCGCCGCACGTTTTCCACTGACTTGAGTTGGAGCAACTACATTGAATCATTGGCTGCATCTACCACAGGGAAAGTTGGTTCTCTGTGTCGTGCCAGAAGTCCATCCTAAACATCTACAAATCTATCATTCATCCATGCATGGAATACGGTTGCCATATATGGTCTGGTGCCCCTGATGTTCATCTCGAGGTTCTCGGCAAAATCCAAAGAAGGATCTGCAATGTAGTCGGTCCTGACATGGCATCTCGACTCCAGTCACTTTCCCACAGACATGATTTGGCTTCCCTCTGCCTTTTCTACAAATATCTTCATGGCAATTGCTCTGACAAGATGTTTTCGCTGGTGTCCCGACTACATGAATTTAAGCGTGCTACTAGGTTGGCATCTAGGTCCCACCCTTTTATTGTTGAAAAGAGTTAAATGCAACCGCCACTTCTACTCCAACGGCTTCTTCTCTCGCACTTCCAGACAATGGAACGCCCACCCTCTTACTTGCTTCCCTAATAACTACAATCTTCAAAAATATAAATGAAACGTCAATCGTGATCTTCTGATACCTTGATCCCTATTCTTCTTTTTATCCTTTCACACACACAATCGTTCGGTTTATTTATTTATTATTCTACTTAATAAATGAACAAACTTTTTGACCAGCCCAATACATGCTCACACACACACACGCACGCACACACACGCACGCGCACACACACACACACATTTGTTCTTGATTTTATGATCCTGTCAGATTCTAGTCCATATTTGATCTGTATTTGATATTTAACTCCACAACTTCCCATCCCACGTGGCTCTTAGCAGTGTTTCTTCTGTTGCCAAACCTTCCAGCTCCTGTTCCGCTATCAATTTGCACAAGCTCAACAGGTAGGTAGCCCGCTAGCTATCTCTCTTTCCCTGTGAGAGTTGTTCACCAAGCCCTCTTTCCTCTTTATATGTCCAAGATATTTCAGCTGTCTCTTTCTGATTCTGAGAAGAAGTGTTCTTTCTGTTGCTTTTTTCTTTAAAACTTCCTTGTTGCTTACTCGCTTCGTCAGTGGAATTTTTAGCATCTGTAGAACCCCGTTTCTGCTGTCTCCAGTTTTTCCCCTAATCAGGAGACTATCCAACATTCACTGCCATATAAGAGGATAGATATCACATAGAAATTGTTCTTACCTTTGTTTCTCAAAAAAAAATCCGTTTCTCAGAACCTCGTTTAGTTTTTAGAATGCTTCTTTCACTAGTCTAATTTTAGTCACTGTACACACTTCGTTTAGTCTCCCATAAATAATGAGGGATGAAAACTAATTATTTTTTGTGTGCGTGTGATTTATTTTCCTTTCTTTTAAATTTACTGTCTACAAAGTAATCATAAACATTATTTAAGAATGTTTCTTTTTGCTTGTTGTTTTAAAATGTCTAAATGGCTATAATAAAATTCTGTGACCCCAGGAAACATATTTTTATAATTTGTCATACGTCAACCCAAAAGCAATTGATCAGTGGAAAAGCAATCATAAATATCCTTTTTAAGTGACAAACTTTATATTTGCATTAATTATATTAATGAGCTTTGATATCGAACACTTTATTGTAAGGACTGCTTGCCTTAAAATGTCTTTTCCCTCAGTATTTACAACATTTTTTCGTTCACCCTATCTTTGTTATCGCTATATAGATTATATAGGAGACACGGTGGAGTAATGAATAGGAGGAATCGGAGAGCCGAGCTCGAATTCCGGTCGAATCCATTATATTCACTCACGTACTAATACACTTGGCAAAGAAATGAATCCTCTCTTTCTCCCGCTGGGTAAACAGACCGAATGGCAACTGGACTAGTCTACCACAGAAAGAAATGGCAACCTACTGCGGGAAAAAAATCTGCCTCGTCAGTTATGTATCAAAAGATACATGACCGTCTAAGCGTGTATCATGGATGGCACATAACTGACTGACTGGTTATGTAGTAATAAATCTGGTCATTTTTTTTATTTGAATAATACAGTATCAATTAAAGGAACAGGTAATTTGTTAAGGCAAAAATTTATAGAAATTACACTAATTTCAGAATCTTATACAGTTAATTTACATCCGGGATCATCAAACATATCTTCTTTTCTAACAAAACTATTGCTATTAAAATGTGAAATCTTTAAAAGTAATGACCATAATAATGAAAATAAAAGCATTTTAAAGTTGAATGAAGTCAGCTCGGTTATGAATGACATCAGATACCAAAAGTTTTTTCCGTCCTGGGTATGACGATAAACTACATCCGACAGCAAACCCACTGATCAGAAGATTTTGAAGAGCGTGGAACCACCTTTTAATTGCTGGCTGTTCACAGGTCCACCCTGACCCAGAGTGGTAGCATTTGTTAGAGTTCCAGCTATGGGCAAATAATAGTTACCCCCCCTCCCCCAAACTAGAGTCAAAACACTATGAAAGTGTAAAAATAGGTTTTAAATACCAGCAATACATTTTTTTAAAAAATATTACCAACAATAAAAATCTTGTCGGCATTGAGGTTGATATGCCGTAAAACAAAACAAACCGAATAAACCAAAAGTTTTAAAATTTAAATCTAAGCAGTCACGTATTTTCAGCATTTCTCAATATAAAATTCTAACTAATCTTACTTATTATAAAACGCAGATTGTGTGTGTGTGTGTGTGTACGTTTATATATTGGATCGGATTTCCTACATTTTTCAACCGATTTCAACAAAACTTCACAGGACTACGTAAAATTACCTTGCGGTGGTTCGGACAGCGCCAAAAATTGAAAAAACACAATTGTTTTTGCACGAAATCAAATTGAAAACACGATTAAGTCGCCGGAATGAAAGGGTGACAACTCATATCGAGTTATACTTATTATAAAACCCAGGTTGTTTGTGTGTGTGTCTGTGTGTGTGTGTGTTCGTTTATATATGGGATCGGATTTTCTTACATTTTTCAACCGATTTCAACAAAACTTCACTTTATTTTTGTCAGGTAGTGTTTCTTATTGTCTTGCACACTTTTTTCTTTATTTTTACATTCAGAATGCTTTAAAAATTCCATTTACAAGACAATTGTTTATAATAAAGTTCTATTCAATCGGTAGACTCATAACGATTGAAAACAATGTTTTTGTTTGAGTTTGGGTTTGACCAATTCGTAAAAAAAAAATAATTAAGACATGCATGTCCGTCAACCTTAAACAATAATCTTTGTCAATTTTATTTTTCAGTCTTTATGATGGTCGATACTTGATCTATCTCTTACTGTTACATCCCCGGGCAACGCCGGGCTCTACTGCTAGTGTTCTCTATATTTCATGCCCTCTCTACTTATGCAATATTCCATCAATAAAAACATTTTAGCTTGAAGAAGTCCTTTCAAAGGATGGAACGTATAATTCAGGAATTTTTTTTTCATTTTGTTAATCAATTACACACATAATTCACTATAATTTCAAACTAATTTTATATTTTCAAAATTTAAAAGAAATAATAAGATATTCACTAGCAATGGATAAAAAAAATCTCTTTCATGTGAATTGAGCGCATGTGTTTTTTATGAAGTGATCGCGGTTCGCTACCCAGACTGTGGCTCTGAGCGGTCAAACTTAAAAATAAAATATTATCCTTCTCCGTTACATTCCTGTCAGCTTTCTTCCTCATGATGAAAACAAAACTTGTTTTCTTTGTAAATAAAGTAAATGACACAGCTGAAAATGTATCTCTCCCAGGGTGTTCAATGGCTTTTTAAAAGGAAAAATTGTTGAAGCTCCAGTCACTGAAAGACAATATCATATCAAATGGACATTTGAGGGTATTTCATGTTACCATCTGATAGCATTCATTGTGATATCTGGTTAATATCATACAATGAAGCAATTGGTTTTAAACTTTCTCATAGCTCAGTTTAGGGTTACGAGTACAAGAGCCTCAGATTTTTCAGTTTGCCGAGACATACCGTCGCGTATATTCTGGTGTAACGAGAAAGATCTTATAAACGTAAATAATGGAAAAGATGTATATTCGCTATGTTTGTATTTCATAATAATACAATACTAATATGTGAATCAGGGAATATTACAATCATGCATCATTATTGGATACAGAAGTAAAACATCAGTTTTAGATTTATCAAAATCATGTTTTTACAGCTGTACTTTTTGGCGACAGCAAATGGTCAACGGTGTAGCCAGGGCCAGCACTACATAAGCTAATTTTATCATGTATCATGCGACTCACTTAAAATTAGCTTTAAAATTAGGTTTTCAAAAGTCGCATGATATAAGGTAACAAGGAAGATGTCTTAGGTATGATCACAGTGTAGGAATGTTTTGTTTTTTTCACAATAAGAATGTTTTTTTTTTATATAATTATTATGGACTCAATAAGGCATCTTTTATTTGGTACTGTTCGTAGATATTTTCTTTTTTTTAACTTTTCTTTAAGTTTTGAGGTTTGGATAAAAAGAAATCCATAACAAAGATGTCCTCCAAAAACAAAAGGTATTTATTTAGGTTATAACTAGCCCAGTATTAAAAAATCTGGAGGTTTTACAAAGAAACTCTCCAAAATACAAAAAATAAATGTATTGTAAACTAAACAGAAAATTACTACAATGAGCGGTGGTAGTGTTGGGTTTGCAGAGAATGAACTAAGATTTTTGCTATGGTGTTAGTTAGATCAGAAGGAATTTTTGTCAGGTTGCGTGATCTTCTCTTGCATCCACAACAATAAATAATACTTAAAACAAGGCAAAACAATGTATGCAATTCAAACAAACAAATGCATTTACAATACAAATATTATATACAAAATATTATAACAAGATTGTGTTGTTATGTTTGTTAGTGGATGAAGATTTTGTTTGTTTTTGTCTTGGTGTATTTGTATTACAGTCTATAAGAATTCGTAATTAGTGTTTAAATACCGTTATGTTCGTGTTGTTCTTTTTGTATTGTTTAGAATTGAGTCATTCAGAAGTAGTCTACCCTTAACTGTAAGTATGAAATATGTTCAATAATAGTATATACTTAAATTGTAGTGAGTGTTAATAATTCACTTTGGATAAGTAAAGTCTTGCGAGTTGAAGCTCATTTGCATTCTTCGAGTCGAGTTTGTGGGTGAGTCAGTTGTGTTTTTTTTTTGTTTTTTTTCGCGCGGGAAAATTATAATCGCAAGTTACGTGCATTAGATTAGCGCTTCTCTGTGTTCGCTTGACTGACTGATTTATCGTAGATGATCAAAGAGAATGTATAGTTTGAGATTCTTGAATGACGAAGAAGTTCGTAGAAGATATTGAACAGTAAAGGTTTGTCGTCTCGATTCGTCACATTTTTAAGCTTGAAAAATGGTCTGCTGCTGATCTACCCAGGTCTGAATCTGCCTGTCACACGTGCTTTTGTTTTTTTTAAGAGGGTGGCTCCAAAACGATTTTGCGCCAAAATTTCGAAGTGCACGTGCGGGCGACCTGATTGGTAGAAACGAACCAATCAGAGGGCTAGATTTACGAATGAAAGTTGGAATAGTGCATTACTCGAAGAAGGTAAGACGAGCCTAATAGTAGCACCACGCAATGCATAGAACAAATAAAATAAATAAAAACAGTTTAAAAAACAAATTTGACAAGATAATCAATTTAGATACTTATGTTAAAAAATGTTAGGCCCACAAAAAACGGATAACAGTGTTTATTATTTCTGTTGTAAATTCTCAAAAACAAAGAGAGTGTATATAACTTCACTTTCATAATATGTTTATGTTTTATTCCAATTCTAATCATCACTTTTTAAAGCAATAAACATTGCCGAGGAGTGAAGTTAATTAAAAAAAATAATAGCGGTGTCAATGGAAAAGCCATCGTTCTGACACCCCGTTTTATTTTTCGTATTTTAGCACGAAGGTCCAAGTTTGCCAAATGTTATATTTAGTGGTGAATAGGCATATCTGATTTTTTTTTTAACAGAATAATTTATGTCTACCGGCCTGAATTTTTCAAGAATCTGTAATAAAGAGAATGTGCCCTTTGGCAGGGTTCGAACCTGCATTCCCTTTTATAACTTGACATGCTTTCAGACTGTTCAACTACGAAAAACGGCGGATGTATCACCTGAAATATTATTATGCAGAACATATTGATAAGATAGATCGAATCATGGGAGGTAACTCTTACAAATAGTTTATATTATCTCCCTTGCTACACATTTTTGAAAGAAGTAAGACGGAAGCAACTAAAAGAATAGATATGTAGGGTCAGTTGGTTATTACAGATTAAATGTTCAAGAAGAGAATAAAGGATATGAGATCTGGATTTGTACACTTATATTTTATTGAACATCCTAAAATATTATTGCTCTTCTCAAAGATTTTAATTTTGCTTTGTTTATAATTGTATCATCAATAGTATCTATCTACCTATGACTTTTCCTTCCTTCCTTCCTTCCTTCCTTCCTTCCTATCTATCTATCTAAGATTTTTTTCTTCCTATCTATCTATCTATCTATCTATCGTATGAGTGGAAGTTAAAACGGTTGTGAGCTTACCTCACAAACTAGTGCTATCTTCTTACCCACAAATAACCAGTACTATATACCTTTTTTTTTTCTTAAGTAACCAGTTCTATCATCTTACCTGTAAGTAATGGCTTACCAAATGAAGAGGAAGTTGAGTGGAACTTCCTCCTTATCAATGGATTATAAAGGGAATGAGGATGAGTTGATTCTGTGCACATGGTATGTCCTAGTTGTGAAGGTTTGAACTGGTGGAACTAAGGATTGTAGCTTTTCTGTACATTTTCCATGAAAATAGCAATAGAGTAGCAAAGTTTCCTCTGTGGCAAAGATGTTGTAGGGTGGAAAATAATTCATCACCCGCAAAGTCGTGCATACACTTTTGAAATCTGTCAAAGTTGTGAGGATTTTACAGCAATACTCCAACTTTAGTATGATTGTTTTCTTGTATGGATAAAACATGGCAGAAGTTAGGTACTTTCTGGAATGGTACAGGGAACTGACCATTTCTCCAGCATCTTTAGTGATGACTTGTATGTACGATTTCCATTTGAGATTGTTATAAAATAAAATGACATATCTCGGCTGATTTACAGGCAAATACTCAAGAGCGAGAACCGGATGTGAACGGGACAAAGCCCCGTCACAAAATGACCATTAACTTTCTTTACAAATGTTTCCGACACACGTGTTCTGGTCGAAAAATAAAATAATAATTAAAGTGCTCTATTTTTCGTCCAATAAAAATGCTTCCCTCCTAATTATACTCGCTTCGTTTCTCGAGCCTGTTAAGCCATAAAAAAAAAAACGATATAAAAGGGGTCACAGGGAAGTTCAGCAGCATTCAACAAGTGGCCACAAAGGAGACCGGTCACGTTTAGCAGATGTCAGCTGGAGAACGTCAACCACCGTCAATATGCGTGAACTACTATGAGAGATCGACCTAGACCCGAAAGCCGGCTTATGAACTTTACCACACCAAGGTAGCTGTCCTAAACCCTTACGTTCCTGTTGAAATAAACCACGTAAATCTATTTCTACTGTTGTCGTATTTTTTTCTTGCAACCATACGCTTGTCTATAACAAGATCAAGAGTGTACATTTTCGTTTCTCCATTTTATCTCTTAAATTAAAATATTACAGTCCAACAGTAAGTAGTATTAATAAAGAAACAAGAGAACAAAATTGGACCCCTTCCTTATAGTGACCACTGGGAAAGTTTATGCTCCCATCATCATGATCTCAAGGTGATAGTCAATTACCTTTATAACATCGATCATTTTAATACAAGAAAACTTTTTAACTACTATTTTTCTGAGTAAAATAAATAATAACAAGGAGACCAAAATTTCAGCAAAAACAAAATTTGGCAATGTTTATTGTTTTAAAATGCAATGATTAGAATTGTAAAAAAAACTTAAACATATGATGAAAGTGAATTTATACATTTTTTGATTTTGAGAATTTACAACAAAAATAATATCTAATTCTAGTTTCTGTAAATATGTAGCTAAAATATTTTCCCTTATATGTATACATATTCTTGTTTTTCTTCACCAATATACAAAAACATTAATACATTACTATAATGCTATTGAAGTATCGTATGCAAATTAGATAGACAAGTATAAATAGAGAACAACTGGCAAACACAGGATGACTATGCCTAGCAAACCCAGTTGCTATTCAGGACATGGAGGTCTGTACTACAACTTCTACTACGCAGAGAGATAACAAAATATGATTGCTATGTTGTATTGTAGTGATAGAAAAATAAAAAGTTCCTTTTCTCAGAAAAGTGTAAAAATAGACAGAGATGACCAGGCAAAGGAACCAGAAAGTTGATAAAATAATTTTGTCCATTCTCACATGCCCTACATTTTCAGACACCTAAAAATCCCACAGAGAATTGAAAGAATTACTATTATCAATGAGATACTTACATACATACATACATACACATTTACAAGGACACTCTTCTCTCTCTCTATTATATGCTAAAGGACTTAAACGTTTAACACAAGAACTTTCTGATGTGAACTTATGAGCACTTTAAATATTGTATATTTTATTTTAAGAGATATAAAATTTTATCAGTATATGCAAAATATATCTTTGTACTAATTATCTTTGCATGCATTTTTAAAAGGCCAAAAATTGGTATATATTTGGATTAAGGATGTTATCTAAAGATAACCACTTGTAAACACAAACCCCAACATAAACCCTAGAGTATCACTATATTGTGGATATAATAATATTATATTGGTATGCTAAGATACTTTCTGATAGAATGATTGATCAACACAAATGTTTGAATTTCTGGTATAAAAAGTTACCATTATTTATATTCAGTCTAATTTTTGATGCTATTATCCTAATTGCCTTCTTCAGGTTTTCTCTCAGAGTCCACGTAATATTCAGAGAATTTTGAACTTTAAGACGCAGATTGTTCTTATTCATTCTGCTGACCATGGCTTCATGTATTTTAATGAGGACCATCCTTCTCCAAAACTTGTAGAGCAGTGCTACAAATAGAGAACTGTATCATATAACAGAAACAACATCATAGAAGACTTTCAATAACAGTAACAACTAAAATGGGTAGCACATGTAACCTGAAAAAAAATAATGACATAATCAAGATGTTGATGTTTCACATGACTTCAAACAAAAAGTTAGGAAGGAAGCTGCCATCAATACTGGAAAGAATGATAACAGTTATTTAAACCCTATCACTGCTATATGTGTTTTAACCAGGATGTGAGTGTGTATTAAAGTGTGCGTGTGTGTGCTAATTTCACTATTAACCTTGGAAAGAGAAGGAAATTTGAACAAAAGTGAATGCAACAAACAGGATAAAGCAGATATCTTGCATGATAAAAGTAGGACCCTGTTTGGTCAAATTTCAATCATTTGACAGAGATTCAGGACCTGGGCGTCTTAACCCCAAAACCCCCGATGGTGTGTGTGTGTGGAGGGGGGGAGCATTTAGGGTTTTTGTGGCCTCTGTCATTTTTTCAGCACTGTTTTATGCCCATTTGTCATTTTTTTAAATTATTTTTAAACTGGAATTACATTGTCAATCATTAACTAATAATATACATCATGTATCTGCATGGCCAGGGTGGTGCGTATTACGCACGAACCCCCGACGAGGTTGGAGCCCCAAAAGGGCTAGTTTCAGCAGCGTTTATTTTGCTTTTTGTACTTTATACTTTTTTCTACCTAACTTATATTGTCAATCATCAATTATAATAATCAACAGGGCTGGTGCTTACTACTCTGAACCTATCCAGGGGGGGGCATGCCTACTGGGAGGGGGTACAAAAATGCTAATTTCAGTAGAGCTTATTTTTTTTTAATTGTAATTTTCTTTCTGAACAGTTCTTTTAAATCAATTAAGAGGGTAATATATCTAGGTAAAATCATTTTTTATTCCAAGATCATCTACTAAGAAGGATTTCTGATTTTTTTTATTAATAGCAATACAAACCAGACGTTTTTGGCTAGTAATTAAAATAAAACTTATAGTCCTTAATTTTTTTTTTATATTTCTAGAACAATAATACCAAGAAAATGATCACTTAAAAATAAAAATGTTTATTTCAACATATGAAAAATTTTCCCGAAGACTGAAATACTGTTTTTAAAAAAATCTTTATGACAATCCTGTTTGTGTTGTGTTGGAATCTTTGTAAAACATTTTTTTCAGCAGAGATGTGTCAGTGATTAATCTTTACGGAAATGGAAAAATTTGCAACTTAAACATTTTTTCAAATAAAATTTAGTCCTGAAAATATTGGTGGTTATTACAAAAAGAATAATATTTTCTCAATTTTTTTAAATAAAAAATCTATTTATTAGAAAAGTAAATACTTAATGCATATATACTGAAATTTTCATTTAAATTGGATAATTCCCTAATTTTTGGTAATTTAAAAAAGTGCTTACCTTCCCCCATTTTCCTTCGAGGGTTTGTGTCTCCCAAGTTGGGAAATTTTGAAATTGATATGTTACAGAGAGTGGGGACTTTATCAAAGTTTTTTTTTTTTTGGGGGGAGTGAGACCTGGTGAAACTAAAGTGACCTCTCCAGCGCGCAGGTGAGGCCTGAGGACATATACGCTTCCCAGACTACATGGCCTTTTCTAGGCCGTACCGACAAGATCCCAAACTACAGGGAATTAAATTTGGGGCAGGCCTGTCTGCAAGAGTTTCTGGAAAGTTGTCAGTATGTATGAATAGAATGGATAAGGGGAAATAATACATTCATGATAAAATAAGAGTTAACTCCCGTTGCAATAGAAATAGAATGTCCCACTTTTTCGCTAAAAAAGTGGCACACCCTGATGAAAAAGGGCCCCAAACTTAATAAAAACAACGTTTTATCACGAAAAACTTTATGTTATTAATAAGAGTAGAGACCAAAGTATTTTTTAATTATTTTTTTAATTTTTTTTTTCCTTTTTAGCACGTTTTAATTTGTAGCTGAAAAATCACCTTTTTTTAGGTCTAAGATCACCAGATATTTTGCAATAGCGTTTTTTCACTTAAAAGACACATAAACTTGGAAATTCTTTTAAAAATCAAATAATTGTCGCAATTTAGTGAAATTTTCAAGACTTATTTCGAAATGACTGAATTTATTGTAGAAAAGTTTGTCTTTTAGAAAACCACAGTACAACTATTTTTTTTTTCGCTTACTACCCACCTTACTTAAGTTTATGAAAACTGTAAAACTAGATGGGCCGTAACTAATTTTATTTTTTTATTAAATAAAGACTTTGAGGAATATAAATCATAAATTTTCGTATACATTTTTCATACGCGTGAACCTCAATTTTAGCTCTGAATTTACAAAATAGAAATGCAAGAAAACTAAGAGATTATTCTATGAAAACAGCTTTTAATGGATTTTATCAGTAACACATATTAAGAACTTTTTTGTCTGAAGTCAAATTTTTTTTACGTTGAAAAATAAATTTTTACGAGAATTGTTTTCTTTTTTTTTTTCATTTCTAAATAGTAAATAATAATATTGATAAATATTTCATAAATAAATTAGATCGCCTGTACCTCGTTTTTTTTGCTCATTAAAACGATCTATTTTTATAGATTATAAATTACAAAGTTTGTAACAATCTGTGATACGCGCGATATTTTAAAATAATTTTTTATGATTTCAAAAAATGTATTAAAATCATCTCCGACAAAACTACGGATGTCCACTTAAGATAAATGAAAATTATGCTAGAGTTATACCCCCTGATTGATTGAACCTATCAGTCTTTTTTGGCATAGCTTTCGTTCTGAGCGCACGTGTCAAATTTTCTGAGTGACTATTGTATTATCGTTGTATTGTCAACAAACTTTTTCTAATTTTGTTAACAAAACTTTTCTTCTAATTTTGTTTTTATATATAATCAATTTCTTCTTTTTCAGTGAGAGACATATTGCAAATATTATTTTTTTTATTATTTTAAATTTAGGGATGGATTCTTTGGGTAGAGAAACGGTTTGTCCGTTTTTTCGCTAAAAAAAGTGGCACACCCTGATGAAAAAAGGCCCCAAACTTAATAAAAACAACGTCTTATCACGAAAAACTTTGTTATTAATAAGAGTAGAGACCAAAGTATTTTTTAATTATTTCTTGAATCTTGTTTTCCTTTTTAGCACGTTTTAATTTGTAGCTGAAAAATCTCCTTTTTTTAGGTCTAAGAAGATCACCTGATATTTTGCAATAGCGTTTTTTCACTTAAAAGACACATGAACTTGAAAATTATTGTAAAAATCAAATAATTGTCGCAATTTAGTGAAATTTTCAGAACTTATTCCGAAATGACTGAATTTATTGTAGAAAAGTTTGTCTTTTAGAAGATCACAGTAAAACTATATTTTTTACGCTTAATACCCATCTTACTTAAGTTTATGAAAACTTTAAAACTAGAATGGCTGTAACTAATTTTATTTTTTAATTAAATAAAGAAGACTTTGAGGAATATAAATCATAATTTTCAAAATTTTCATACGCGTGAACCCCAATTTTAGCTCTGAAACAACACAAAGGAATTCATAGATGAGATGAACGCTGAGACATTTGAAAGTCACTTGAATAAAAAAAAGCAATGATATTCAGTAGGAAACTGGTTGACCAACGCAAGCAAAATCAAGACATCTTAGAGGCATAAATTGCTGACAGGAAGAATAAAAACTTTTGATGTTGCAACATCAACATCAACAGTCAGAAAGAAACAGCAACCAGAGAAAATTGAAGAAGATTCAGAGCTATAGCATTTTGGCTATTATGGAAAAGTTTCCACTAATTTCAATTGATTTTGCTGAAAATATTCAAAAAATATTGGGTGGTGATGTAGTCAACAAACTGATAGAGCATACTTGGACAGTTGATTTGGTTGATAAGACATTTCAAGGTTTTTTGTAAGTTTTTCAGACCCTAATTTATTATACGAATGAAATCCATGAAGATGAAGAGTATTTGTTAGATAAATATGAATTTGGAGCTGACTATATTATGCGGGACTTGAAATTTTAAATAAAAAACAAAACAAAAAAGACAATGATAACCAGTCCTGGGTATGACAATAAACTACAACCGGCAGCAATGATTCCAAGCGTTAGGTTACAGGTCTTGAGGAGTGTGGAACCACCTCTTAGTTGCTGTTGTTCCCAGGTCCACTCTTACCCGGAGTGCTAGCACCTGTTAGGGTCCCAACTATGGGCAAATAGATGAAAAGAAACAAAATACCAATCCTTTTTTAAATTAAACAAAGTCTTATCAAGTGCCACGAAATTTTCGCCAAAGTCTTATCAAGTGCCACCAAATTTTCGCAAAAGTCTTATCAAGGGCCACCAAATTTTCGCAAAAGTCTCAAATCGATTGCATAGCAATTCATTCGTCGCTTGTATTAAAAAAATAAAAATAAAACGTGTATAAAATTTTCAAATTATAAATGTTGTTTTTATTTCAAAATTATTTTTTCAAACGTGGGGTTTTTAAATGTGTATTTTTTTTTTTTTTTTTTTTTTTAAATAACCAGGAAAAGTAAATCTCTTCAAAAATGAGTTACGGGTTTCATTTTGAAATGTAATAGTATATTGTTAGTTAATTTGTATCTACGGAAGATCAGAAGTTGAAAACTTGTGTTACGTAACTGAAAAAAATATATGACGTAACGGCTAGGTTTCTAAGTAGAAAAAAAAAAAGAGAAATAAAGTAACTGTTACTTTATTTCTTTTTTTTTTTTATTATTCCAGAACTTATCAATTGTAGGGATTAAAAGAAAAAAATTAATTTTTTAATTTCAGACAATGAAAATTTTTAAAGTGTAATAATATCAATTAACACTATCCCGGCGCGCTAAAAATTGGCGCGAATTTTGTTACTTCCGTTCTACCGTACGATAAATTAGTCTGAGGTAAGCTGTCGATACATTGACATCCATCAATTCACACTCGCCAAAACCGGTTACCACGGTTGGAGATATCTCTCTTAAAAATTTTTCTGCGAGAAATGTAAGTAACTGTTCTTTCAAATTACATTAAGTAAGCATTAAATTTTCTAATTATCCTAAAAAAACGTCTGAAAAATTGATACTTAATTTTTTAAAAATATTTTACAATAATTGGTTTTGAATTTTTTTTAATTTCTGAAAAATGGCTGATCGGACCGATTTTCTAGTAAATTTAATTGACTAAAAAAACAAGATATTTGAATCAATTTTTTAACAGGCTATGAAGGATTAAAAAATCTGAAAAAATATTCAAAAAATACTTTAGTCTTTCCTCTTAACAATAACTTAAACATTTAGACATAAAAAAATTGTTTTATCAATTTTCTGAGCTTTTTGTCTCAGGGTATACGTTTTTAACGTGCTAAAAGGGACATTCCTGAATCGTTTTGATTTTGAACTTAATGAAGATTCCTTCATTATAGTCAAGATAAATTTAATTGGAAGTATATCTTATTACTTTCCCCCTTTCTTAATAAAATATTTTGGCAACTAAAATCAACCAAAAAAACAACAGCTTCTAAACAAAACAACCCCTTTGCTAAGGTGGCAGTACAACTGAATAGTGAGTTCGATCCTCAATGGATGCCCTAGGCATCCAGTGACGGCCTAGTGCCACAAGCAACGCATAGAAAATCGCCCATTGCTAGGGTGGCGGTGTGATTGCACCCTAGAAAATTTTCTCCGCCACATCTTGTGAAAAAAAATAAAAATGTGAATTTATTTTCGTGTAAAAATTCTTACTCGCTAGTTGCTCTCTGTCGAAGAGGGCTGGGGTAAATCCCTAGTGCATGAGACTTGGACTACATTTGACCTCTGATCCTATGTACGCGTATGTCTCCCACTTTAAACTCAGCCTGCTTGTACTTACATTCCGTTCGAGTTCATGCGGCTAAAATAAAAAGCGTTCATTATTTAAATAGGGAACTTGGAATTTTGACACCGTTTCCGCTCAAAAGTTCATGTTTTTTAACGTCTATCTTCAAAATTTTTACATCTGCAATCATGATTGAATCCATGACGTTGATTAAACAAGGCGCAGAAGCTAAAATCTATGAATCGATTTTTTACGACAGACCTTGCATTGTAAAGGAACGTTTCACCAAAGCTTATCGACATGAATGTTTGGATCGAAGTTTGACTCAACAACGGCTGAAGTCGGAAGCGCGTGCAATGTTGCGATGTAGAATGAAAGGTGAAGAAAACTGTTTTTATATCTTTTTAAATGATTTTTAAATTTATTTAAATAAAATAAATATATTTGGTTGAAATGTCCTCATACTTTAATTTGGTAAAGAAACGTCGCAATTATTTTATATTCTCAATGTGTGTGCATTTGCACCGTCAAAAATCTTGACTCAAACAAAATTAAAAAAATATACTTTCAATTTTCAAAGATTTTAACTTCCTTTTAGTTTTAATTTAAAATATTCTCTACACCACGGCTACAATCTACAGTAGTACACCATTCAAAAGAAATGACTAAGCCTTGATTATGACGATATAACAAATAGTTCTAAATTAGAAGCCGATAAAGCGCAAACTACCCATCACAGAATAAAGTTTTTAATACATTTATTTTTCCTTCATTTTGCATAGAAAACAACCACTTTCAGTATGTGTTTGCATTTATATGAGAATCATCATGCTTGGAGCAAAGTTGACTGCAAACCAAATTTGTAAATAAATTTGCTTGAAAAGCGTGACAAGAAAAAACGCTGATCCTATGCTCCGTGGTAAGAAAATATGCATGCAAAAGCTGACTGACACTTAACAGTAATTAAAATTAAAAACTAAACTGAATCTCCATTTAAACAAAATAAAAAAATCTCCTAGTAAGTAGGTTTTTAAATTCATGGAGTTAAATTAAAAAAAAAAGAAGTGATTATTACGATTTATAGTTTATGCAGCACAAGTCCGAAAGTACACAGTGAGTCGTAAATTGATCTAGCAAGACAGGCTTGCTTATTCATGGTTACTCTTTCTTTACACTCGTCTGACAATAGGTGACACAATGTCGGTTTCATGTGAGGCACCGAGCTCGTACACCCGGGCCAGGGCTAAAAATTGACCAGCCCCCGCAACAGGTGGTTGCATAACTACCGATGCCCCTCTTTAGTGCAGTAATAAAAGTACTGCAGCTGTTTTTCCGAAACCGGGCACCACAATATTTTTGGAGTTACACGCTGTTTGCAGACAGAGACGCCTCTGAGAGATGTCAACAGTACAAGTTTAGGACAAGTACCATTTTTCTTATTTTATTTTCTAAACGTAGCTTATGTGACACAAGGCCGAAAGTATGGGGCGCCTAGTAATCTTTGAACTCACTACTTGGTCATAATTGTTTTAGCAGGACAAGATTGCTAACCATTACACCACAAACTCTTTATTGCAACAGAACTCTGTAACCCAATCAATTTCAAATTTGATTTGACAGACATTTCTTTTGTTTGTTTCTGATTGCTTAGAAAAGATGACTGACAAAATTCAATTTCTACAAAACTATTACTTGTTACTTATCTGTTTCCAGCTGCTATTTATGAAGATTAATGAAGTTTTTATACAAGGCCACAAATAAAGATCAAATTCGCAGCACAGTAGTAATATTCAGTCAGTCTAGCTTGCTAACCATTACCCCATGTAAATGTGTGCTTGTTCTCAGCTGTTGTCTGCCTTGCATAAAGTTTTTCTAATAAAAAATGTGCATTCAAAGTGTCATATAAAAAATGAATAACAAAATTCTTCAGACAAGTTTAATTTTCCTCATCAAATAAAAATAGTTTTTCCTGTTTATGTTTTGCAATGTTTCATGAAGGCAAAAACTGGTGTTTTTTCTAGTTATTTCATTGAATGATGAAAGAAATTTTGCATTGTTTGCCAAAAAATATGTTTAGTGTTTAAAGTTTATCTTTAAATTTTTGTAAAAATATTTTGTATCGTTCTCTATATGAATTAGAGTCCTTATATTATCAAAGGACTTCTTATATTATCAAAGGACTTCTTATATTATCAAAAGAGGAGGCATGGTATAGTAGAATGGATAGCAGCTCAGATTGAGGAATCAGAGAGCTGAGTTTGAATTCCATTCAAATCCATTACATTCACTTATGTGCTAATACCCTTGGGAAAGGTATGAATCCTCTTCTACCTCCAGCTATGGGTAAATAGCAGGACAGACCAGGTTCTATAGCCTTGGATGGCAACCTACTGTGGGCAAAAAATCTGCCTTGTCAGTCATCTATCGAAAGATACATGATCGCCTAAGCATGTATCACACAGGATACATAAACTGACTAATATTATCAAAACCTATGTTAGAATTACCATTTATAAAGTTACCATGTCAGATAAAGTTACCAATTATCAGAGAATATATTGCTCAGCTTGTGTTAGCTGTTGCAGTATTGATCTATTTTTGAATGTTGTTCCTTATTGAATCTACTGATAGCAGCTATGACAAACTAAATGATGTGGACCAAATATCTGGAGAGGGGATCAATGTTTTTGCCCTTGTGTGGTATTAAGTTTGCAGTTACAATAACAGTACTATACTGCAGAAATAAGAATCCAAAATTTAAGATAGTATTAATATTAACAGTAACAAATTATTATGTGTGCTATTGCATGGTTTGGAATTTTGTATTCCTCCATTGTCAATAAAAAAGAGAGTTTGAGGTATTTTTTGATCAACTACCCAAATTCTCTTTTCAATCTTCAAGAAAGTTGATCAAATTTGTCCCCTATTGTGCATTCTGAGTTTAAGTGACAATGGGAACATTTTTTTGTCTCATCATAAAAATAAAATTCTTGTTATTAAAATTAAACCCAGTAAGTCTACCACAGAAAGAAATGGCAACCTACTGCAAGAAAAAAAATCTGCCTCGTCAATCATGTATTAAAATAACCCAAACCTTGATTTCAAACCAGAAAGTAAACTAAAAAAACATGCTTACTCTCTTAGTGTAAGAGTTACTAGCATGGAAAGTGGATTTGGTAAGCCAAGTTCAAATTCTTGACTCATCTGTGGTATTGACATTCACAAAAATGCCCATAGAAAAAGAACTAATCCATATCTTCTCCTCCAAGTTATGGGTTAAATAGCAGGGTAGACTGAGATCTCAAGATTTGGATGGTAGAAGAAGACTACTCTGAATTCAAAACCATGAAAAAGGCAACGGGAAATTACTCCAGTATCCAATTCATAGATAATAAAAAAAGGAAGCCATGATAATCTATGTTGTAAAAGTGGAGAGTCATGGCAGTCTTTGTCCTGAAAGTGGGGAGTCGTGACAGTCTTCATCCCAAAAGTTGAGAGTTGTGACGATCTACATCCTGAAGGGATATAACAATTTCAAAAGGTGGCGTGAAAAAGATCAGAATAAAAATGTAAATGTAAATAATTGCAAATCTCCTAAATGAAGTATGTCGCTCTCAGAGTTCTAAGTTTTTGAAATACTACCATAACACATTATTAATTATATAATTATGATTCATATGAAATATTTAGGTGCTTCAGGATTAATTCATAATTTGTACAGAATATTCCATGTACATTTTATAATGTAATATTTATTTTGTATTTTAGGAATTTGTACACCAGCAGTGTTTTTGACAGATTTGGACCATGGGACTATCATTATGGAAAAGATTGAAAATTCAGTAACTATTCAAGAATATATTAATAATTGTAAACAGAAATTTCCCAATGATTGTGCTTTACAGGCAGTGATATGTAAAATAGGAGAAACAATTGGCCAAATGCACAAGAACAATATCATTCATGGTGATCTGACTACATCAAATATTCTATTGCGTGGTTCTCCCAGTGATCTCAATTTAGTTTTCATTGATTTTGGTTTGAGTCACTTTGAAAACAATGCTGAAGATAAAGGAGTGGATCTCTATGTTTTGGAACGAGCTTTGCTCAGTACACATCCAGATTTGGACACATTGTTTGAGAGTATACTGAATGGATATAAGAAGGGAAATACGACTGGTCATCAGGAAGTGATTCTTAAACTGGAAGAAGTGAGGCTCAGGGGCAGAAAAAGAACAATGGTTGGATAATATATATATATATATATAGTTGCATAAAATTTATATTAATAATCACCTTTATTAATGTAAAATCATTTTGGTTGCGATGTTAAAATAAATTTTCATTTCAAAAACTTATTGAGTTTCATTTTAGGGTTCAAATATTTTTTCTTTCTTTACAATGACATTCACCCTGTACAAGGCCTAAGAGCTACTCGAGGTAGAGGGTTACATAAGAAAAAGGCTTTAGAAGGAACTGGAAACCCAATCTTAAAGAGAAAACAAGGGATAAACCTCTACTCCTGTTCAAAAGAATTGGCAAACCTATCTGCTCCTATTAAATATACTTTATAATTTGCTTTACAAAAGATCATTCTTTACTATTTTTTTAATCATTTCACCCAAGACAATAAAGCCACTAAGATGCAAAGGTGTGAAAGAATAAGAAAAAAAGACATTATTAAGGAGAGAAAACAATAAAAGAACAAGAATTAAGACAAAAGATAACAATTGACATTGCATTTGAATTTTTGGAGGTCAAAGTTGAGAGGCCAGAAAAGAGTTCCACAAGCAAGAAGTGTGATAGAAGAAACTGTTAGCATAGAAATTCTGATTACATCTAGTCATTTCAACTGTAAAATGATGAGACCTTGTCACCAATCTTTACTGTGATTGAATTCATGAAGTCTTGGTACCATAGCAGAAAGTTCATCAGAACAATTACTATGAAAGTATTTATAGAAAAGGTACGGAAACTACATTACAGCCTTAAGAAAATGACTGAAGCCAAGATGCCAGATCAGGACAAATAACATTGGAGATTCTTTATTATTTTATCAAGAATCTCTAAATATATAGCAGAAGCATACCTGGACAAATGATAGACTGCTAAATGTCCATATTTCTGAGATGAGGCACCTATTGTAATTATTTACACTATTTACATTGTTTGAACTGTTTTCCGAATTGCAATTTTGTATATTGCAATTTTGTTATTATTGCTTTTCTCTAGCACTCCATATTACTGGTTCCTATATTATATTCATTTTTATGCTTGGCAGGCTTAGGATATTTTTGTGGCTTAGCATATGTGCTGATTCGTTAAGTTTTTGTATTTTCCAGTGATGTTCTCTGTCTATTATTTAAACCTCATTCCACAGGAGGCGGTGAACTCCTTTTTTCCTCCAAATGTGGAAGAGGCATGGCATGTGGAACTAGAAAAATTTAGTTATAAACGTCTATATTTCTGAGATGAGTTATTGTAATTATTTACATTGTTCAGATTGTTGTCCTCATCTTTGTCATATTAACAAAAGCCGCCTTCTGGTGATTGGAATTTCAAACTGAGTCCTTTATGTTGTCTGCCAGGGTAGAATGTTCTCGTTCCACATGCCATGTCTCTTCTGGATGTCTCAGTTATCTCCCTTTAACTCAACTCTCAAAAAGTTCTTTTCCACAACTGCAGTAGCCAGGTATTGGACTCACAAATCTTTGGATCCAACCAACATGTTTATTCACTGGGTCATGTATCAGTGTATAAATTTGGGGGACTTATAAACTTAATGTCTCAGTTAACACTTTTTTACCAGAGCTCATATTGCAATTTTGTTATTATTGCTTTTCTCTAGCACTCCATATTATTGGTTCCCTTATTGTATTCATTTCTATGCTTGGCCAACTTAGGAAATTTTTGTGGCCTAGCATATGTGCTGAATCCTTAAGTTTTCATATTTTTCAGTGATGTTTTCTGTCTATTATTTCAATAGGAGGTAATAATCTCCCTTTTCCCTCCAAATGTGGAAGAGGCGTGACATATGGAACTAGAACAATCTACCTCAGTGGATAAAATAAAGGGTTCAGTTCGAAATTCCAATCACCTGAAGAAGGCTGGAAACGTCATGAATATGGCAACAACAATGAGGCCAACAGTCCGAACAACGTAAATAGTGTAAATAAGACTCATAAATATATAAGATAGATTCTGATGAAAAAAATTGTCTACCATGATACAGTGAACCAACTTTCCTAACAGCAGTTGATTCAATATAATCTTTCCCCTTCATGTCAATGAAAAACGTTAACCAAGATGGCACAATGACTCACTCTCCTGGAGGTTAGCATCAGTGGTATCTTATATTGTTGATGTTATTGATTATGACATAACATAGTTTTCAGACCCCACTGGAAACTAAGATGTCTATTATTACCCAGAGATAGTAATTTTTTTCAAGCAAAAGATCTTGGTATAATGCAGAGTGCTACAGTTAATTTGTTGTCATAGCATTGGGTAATTTTAACTGAGCTTAGCAAATTCACAAATTCAAGTTTTTCTCAGAATTTCTGGGATGAGAATTACACTTATTTGCACTATTTATATTCAAACTATTGTCTTCATCTTTGCTGTTTTTATCACAGCATTTCAGCCAGGAATTCTGAACTGAACCCTTTATTTAATTTAAAGGAGTAGACTGTTCTCATTCCACTGCTCATGTCTAAGGATATAGTTCTTATTTTATTTAGTTATTGCTGGTTCACTTCCACCGAGTGCAAGTATACACTAACTAACCCAGAGATTGAACTGACAACTACTATGTCATCAAATTCACAAACCAACGCATTTATACACAAGGCCATTGTACCGTAGCAAGAGTAAAAAGTGCTAATACCCTTGGGAAAGATATGAATCTTCTTCTTCTACACCCAGCTATGGGTAAATAGCAGGATAGATCAGGTTCTATAGCCTTGGATGGCAACTGATCTACCACAGAAAGAAATGGCAAACTACTGCATGAAAAAATCTGCCTCATCAGTCATGTATCAAAAGATACATGATTGCCTAAGTGTGTATCACGCATGGCACATGACTGATGAATCTGAGCTTAGTTATGCTTATAAACTCTATGATAAAAAAATCTTAGCCTCACTTCACCATATCATATTGAAACACCAATTCCCTTACATTGCCTGATTTAAATAAAATCTATCCTCATCTGTACCTCAATGGGTGACCTCTTGAGGATACCAGTTGCTGTAAGCTTGGATGTGTTGATGGTGTAATGGATAATGACTCAGAATTGTTAATCAGAGAGCCAAGTTCCAATTCCAGTTGGGTTCGTTATATTCACTTATGTGCAAATACCCTTGGGAAAAGGGGTATGAATTTACCTCTTCTCCCCCAGTTAATGGGTTAATTAGTAAGACTTGTATCACTAAATCATTGTTAACCCACAAAAATTTCTTAAAATCTGAAAAATATTTCCTGGCTTTAAATAATGTTGAAAGGGTTGATAAACCACAGCAAATCAATCGGTTATAGCCACACTTCATGCTTATGTTTAAGTTTTAGACCAATCCAAACCTAGTAATGGTTATAAGCTTTAAGATAATAAAAAGATCTGCACTCATGCTTAAAATATCCTCAATTTTTTTAACTAATCTAAGCCTAGGAATGGTTATAAGCTGCATGATAATAAAAGAAAACTAGTGTAATCTGAAAACCAGCCACTTTACTAAAGATTCTGCACATTTGTTAGATCCACTTTTCAGATTTTTTTGTATGTAGAATTGAGTATATTTTTGCAAAAGTTTCACATTTGTTTTTATAGAATGAATCCACTTTCTACATTTTAACATAGGAATATAAGATCATTTCTTGGTTATGTTTTAAAATTTATCTTTGACTTCTGGCCTTTTAATATTTTGAACGTGTTTTTTAATGCAGTCTTTGCTTAAGTGAATTGTTCACAAATGTAAAAAGGATTTTATTGCTTTACATGAATGTTATCTCCTTTCAGGAGAGTGTGTAATAACAAGCCTCACTGATCACAAATTATTTTAACCAATAAATTATTATCAAATTTGCAAATATTTTGCTGTCATCTCTAAGTTTTCCCAGTTCTCATTTCATCACCAAAGATAAGCAGTGCCAAGTTTAATCACTACTTAGACGTGTGCCCACGTAGGAACATCAAGTACTATAAATGACCTCCAACAGTCTGAAATATATTTCTGCTTTGAATAACCGACAAAGAATTGATAAGCTGAAAATAACAAAATCAAATCAAAGCATCACTCCAAGTTTCAAGCATGGCTTTTGAGTGTTACGTTGATAGTGTCATGTCAGTAATTATTATTATGTGTTTTTTTTTTTTGGTGTGGGGGGGGTAAGTTTCAAATTTTCATGTGTCAGTTTGTGATGATTTGTCTTTTTTCTTTTTTAAATTGGAAATGTTGTACTTGAAAAAAATACCTGACATCACATCTACCAACATGTAAAACCCATTGAAGAAACTTTCTGCATACCTATAGACATAATCCTATCAGTCAATAAAAAAATTCACCAAATATGGAGCTTCCTGTCTGCAGAAAAACTGAGTGTCAAAAGGACAGTTTTTCCTATGATACCACTTTTTTTATTTTAATTAATTTCACTCTTTGGCAATGTTTATTGTTTTAAAAAGTGATGATTAGAATTGTAATAAAGACTAAAGATATGATTGAAGTGAATTCATATATTTTATTTAGTTTTTGAGAATTGACAACAAAAATATTAAACATTATAAGATTGTTTATTTACAAGAATAATTTTATACTTACAACATTCTAAAAACTGATACAGTTAGAACTAATGCAATGTTTATCATTTACCAGTTATCATATAAAGAAATAATATGAAAACAAATTTTTATTCTTAATTTTATATGCATTTACTAAATTATTAAAATATCTGAACCAACTATAAGGAAATCCTTATTATTTACCATTTTATAAAGTCCAAATCAATTGGCAATTTGCAGATATTTTACCAACTATTCCAATAAAAAATCTAATAGTGTTTATTATTTTTCAATTCTCAAGAACAAAGAATATATAAATTCACTTTCATCATATATTTGTTTTATTGCAATTCTAATCACCATTTTTTAAAACAAACATTACCGAAGATTGAAAGTAGATTAAAACATTTCATTCAATACAGGTAGGCAAATTACCCATGTATTAAACATTTCAAGTAACATATTCACTTATCTTTGTAAAAGAATTCTCTTTTTGTTATGTTAAGCTTGATCAATAAAATTCCATTGTGAATAGAATGTTATTTTTTAATTTCTGGAAGTAGTGAACTTCATTTCACCACAAGAAAGGCAATAAAGCCACTATAACGCAAGGGGTTACCAAGTGTGAAAGAATATAAGAAAAAGGAAACATTATTAAGGAACAAGAAAAGAACAGGAACAAAAATACAGAGGATAACGGCTGACTTTTCCTTTAAATTTTTGAAGATTATATTTGACTGGAAAGTGAAAAGCTGGAAGTGAGTTCTGCAAATGAGAAGTGCAAGAAAAAAATTGTTATCATAGAACTTAGAGTTACAGCTAGCTATTTCAACTTTAAAATGATGAGACCTTGCTGCTGATCTAGTACTGTGCTTAAATTCATAAAGTCTAGGTACCAAAGAGGAAAGTTCATCAGGACAGTTACCATGAAAGTACTTATAGAAAAGGCACAGGGGAGCTATGTTATGGTGATGGGAAAGTGACTGAAGCCGAGATGTCAGGTCAGGATTAATGACATTGCAGATTCTTTGTATTTTATCAAGGATCTCTAAATATATAGCAGGAGCACCAGCCCATATGTGGCAGCAATATTCTAATCATGGATGAGTGGTAGATTTATAAATATGTAAGATAGTAATATGTAAAATTGTCTAGCACAACACAGATAATTAATAGAGAGCACATATACAAGAAAATGCAGAATGACTTTTTTTTCTTTTCTTTTTTGGATAAATACAGTGGGATTGTAAAATCACTTAACATATTTTTCATGATAAAATGAACTAGTATAGTATTATTCATAAAAATAAAAACTATTGATAAACTTTCTTTATATGTAGAAAATGGGGAAAATTTATTGAATGCTCTTGAATAATTCAGATTTTATTTTCAAAGAGGAAATTTCTAGATTAATGATTTACAACATTTATTTTCAAATTGTGTTTTAAAAATTTTCTTTTTCTCTCTCTTAATTTGTTGAATGAACTGATTCTGTAACAATATTTAGCATGACTGAACGGAAGAAATTGCATTAGTTTATACTATTGATTATTAGAGACCAAATGGAAGGAAATTATATTAGGTGATGTTCTATTCTGTTTCCAATATGAACAGAGAAAAAAAAAAAGACGATATTTAGGAATTATGTGCAGGTAAAATTATCACAAGAGTCATGGTATTCTCAAAGTAAAACAGTCATATCGGATGAGGTTGTGGGGGTCAATGAAATGTTGATGACAGCTATGAAACAGGACTGTTTAATCAAGGAGAAAGCATTTTTCAGCTGTGGATTGTAAACCAAAAAAATGTGTCAACACAGAACAATGGATGCCCTCTGACCCCCAATGGAATGAGTTGGAAGTGAATTTTGTTAACAGGATTTAAACAGGCCAGGTAGTTTGGCAATTCTAAATTTGAACAAAGCCAAAACGCATTTATAAAGTGTGTCATAAGGAAATTGCTTATTTGGTTATCTATGGCAGGTTCAAAGGTTATGCTAATTGGTGAAATATGAAAAAAGAAAAAACTGAATTTTCCTGGGAAACTAATTTGGTATTTTGGAAAGAAAGAAAGGGCCGAGAAAAGGAGTGATGTCATGAAGACAACACTATCCCATTGGCTGTGTCATAAGGGAAGAAGACAGAAAGAAATGAAGCTGTAATTTCATTGGCTAACAAGGGTCTGAGATGAGGTTTGCATAGACACCCCATTGACCGTCGTCCCCATCCCAGTAAAGAATGGACAAGCATAAATACAGCCCCAAGGGGATAACGACCAGTGGAGTGCAGTTGCAGTACAGTTGAGTTGCAGTTCAGTTAGAGCCGGAGAATAGCCGAGGAGTGAGGCTTGAAGTACCAACACCACCGCCCGCCAACCTCCGCAACAATCAGAGACAGTCTACGTCAGTTTCTGTGAGGTTTCAGTGTGAAGAAAAACAAAGACACTTAGAATTGCCACCAACCAAGAACTCCGACCGGAGTGAAGAAATAACGCCAACCAGAAAACTTGAAAATCACCCCTTAAAGAAATTAGTCGAGACTTCCATTCCGTGGTCAGCTTGTTAGGGGCAGGGGTTGGGAAGAAGACAATTGATGATTGTACTCTGAATTCTTCTGTATATAAAGACTTTCTTTTCTACAACTTACTCAGGTGTTGTTCTGTTTATATTTGGTGCTGTTTCATTTACCCAATTGTGCATCCGCGTCCAGATTGGTTCGACTTGGCGGAGAGACACTTAGCGAAAACCCACGTGGCTTCCTTGAGATCAAATTCACAGCGTGGGCAAGGGACTTCACTGTGGGTGGAGTCGATTCAGAGACCGGCTTCTAGCTACCTGCCTCGTCGCTGTTGACAAAGAATTTGTTCCGGGACGGTCACAATTCTTACAAATATTATTTACTTAGAATCTCAAATATTGTATTTTATAATATATTAGCTGCACCTTTTCAAAAACACCCTGCCTTCTACATATAAATATGAAACCCTTCCATAAACTAATATATGGCTTTTACCATTGTAAACTATTACAATTTTTTGATTACACGAGAGGCCATGTTACACGTCATCAAATTTGAACAAATTAATGCTGGATTGTAAAAATTTTATAAAAGTGTTAAAAGATGGAAATAGGCTTAGAGCAATTGGAATGAATAATAGTTGCTAAACAGGTAAATTACTTTCTGCAATAATTAAAAGTTTAACTAATAAATCAGTGATGAATCAACATAATTATCATGTTCTAGTCATGCAAACTAAGGATAAAGTCATAAAAAATAAAGAAACCTAAAGCAATGTGCAAACTACAGGATGATTCAATTTGCATGCAAATGTAGAAAATGTCAGAAACTCAAAATGGAACACCTTAGAAGAACTAATGACATCAGCAAAAGGACTCAGTTTTCAAAAAACCTAGGCTTATGTAAAGAACAGATATAAAAGCTTAGAAGAGGTCAGTAACTGAAAGTGGAACACCTTAAGGGACTAGGGACAGCAGCAAAAGAGGTCAGCACAAAGAAAGATCTAATAAAAAAAGGAAATGAAATTCTCAAACTAATAAATAAGAGACAGCAAATAGTACCAAAAAATGGCACAGAATATAAAATGTTAAACAAAGCAAAGACATTGGAAATAAATGCTAACAAACAAAAGAATGGCTCAGCAATAAATGTGCAGAGATAGAAACCTGATAATATAGACATAGCAAGCATCTTTCTTCTTTTATGTGCCATGTCCCTTCAGGACATAGGTGATCATGGCTCTCCACTTCCCCTCTCCCTTATTCTCAATGTTTTGTACTTTTGCTTCTTCTCCCAGACCCTGTTCTGCCATCTATTTGCTGAAACCCACTAAGTATATCACGCATTGCCTTCCCTTGTCTCTCGTTCCCTCTATCTGCCCTGTGAGTATCAAATTCTTCAAGCCTTCCTTTCTCATTACGTGTCCCTGAAATTTCAGCTGCATCTTCCTGATGTTAAGTATAAAAATATAAAAGAAATAAAGAGGCAGAAAAGGTGCTCTTTGACAGAATGCGTAAAACCTAAAACAGACCAATTACAGTTGGAATAAATACATCAGAACTCTTCTATGACAGGAGAGAAACCTACAATACATAAAAATATGAAAGGATCTGTGGTAATAAAATATGAGGTAAGACCGGAACTGGCCAATATGAACAGAAACAAAGCAACAGGACCAGATAGGATTGCAATAGAGATGCTTTTAGCCTCAGATAATTTCAAGGTTGGTAAGGTTATCAAAAAAATAAAATATATAACAGTGGTGAAACACTGGAAGATCCCATTTACACCTGACTTGATAGCAAATCTTGTCAGTTTGATAAGGTCAAAATGGCAGTCGATATCCAAAATGACCTTTAATCTGTTGTTAACTGGTGCAAAGGATGGCTTGTTAATTTTAACACTTCCAAAATTAAATTGTTCTCTATTAATCCTCTAAGAGAATCCTCTCTGTCTTCAATCAGCATGACTAATGCTGACCTCCAGGAGAGTGACTTGGGCTAACGTTCAGTTGACATGAAATGGAAAGACTATATTGAATCCATTACTATGCCAGGTGCCAGGAAGGTTGTTTCACTGTGTTATGCTAGACGGTTTTTCTATTGAGAGTCTATCTTACATATCTATAAGTCTACCATTTATCCATGCTTAGAATATTGCTGCCACATATGATCTGGTAGTCCTGCTATCTATCTAGAGCTCCTTGATAAAATCTAAAGAAGAATCAGCAATATTATTGGCCCTGATCTGGTGTCTCGGCTTCAGTTACTTTCCCCCTGATGTAAGATTGCTTCCCTACAACTTTTCTATAAATACTTTCATGGTAATTGTTCAGATGAGGTCTTCATTATGGTGCCTAGACTCTTCAAATTTAAGCGCAATACTAGACTGGTGACAAGGTCTCACTAATTTACAGCTGAGTTGGTTAGATGTAATGCTATGCTAACAGTTTCTTTTGTCACACTTCTCACTTGTTGTACTCCCTTCTGGCTCCATGTTTTCCAACCAACTTGAACCTGCAAAAGTTTAAATCCAATGTCAATCGATATCTGCTGTCCTCCTGATTACTCTTCTTTTGCTCTTGCTTCTTAGCAATGTTCCTGTTTTTCCTGTTTCTAACTCTTCCACACCCAGTAACCTCTTGTGTCTTGGTGGCTTGCTTGGGGTGAACTCTATTTAAAAAGAAACCTCAGTAGGTCTATTTTCAAAACAATACCAAAGAAACAAGGTGCACATTAATAAACTCTATTGGACAATCTGCTTATTGAATCTAAACTGATCATTAGGATTCATAGAACTTATAGCAGAAATAGATTGGAAATAAAGCAAAAAAATGTAGCTTTGTCCAAAACACTGCAACAAGAAATGTTATCAAAACAAGCAATACAAATGCATAAAGTTTATTTCGTGAATTTCAAGAAAGTAATCAATAACCATTATTGGGAATAAACAGCCTGCATCCAGATAGAAATAAGTTCAGTGAATACACAAAAATAAAAAAAAGACAAGGATGCATTTTCTCACCAGATTTACTGTAATAAAAATAAAACGAACCATCACAATTTCACACAGCTGCATGTCCAAATAGTCACAAATTCACTTTTCCTACGATCAGCTTTTTTTTGCCCTGTCACTTGTTCACTGTCACTGTATTCTTTCATTGACCATTTTCTGTTACAACTGACAGAATGAGTCTGCCCTGGTTTTTCCTTGCATCTTTGAGTCAATGGCATCAACAGGTACATACCCTCAGCCCTTTTGAAAGTAGGTGGATTTCTTCTGCACATTTATTTAACCTACATAATGAGATGATCCTAAGTGAATTAATAGACCTATCAGGATTTATTATTAGTGGATATAATCTTAACAACATAAGATATGCTGATGGTACTGAGTTGATAGCAAACTCAGAAGGAAAATTGAAAGAACCCTTAAATAAAGGGAAGCAAGTACTAACTATTAATTGCAATATTGAATGTATAGAAAAAAAAGAATCCGAGATTGTACTGGGGACGTCAAAATCAAATAGCTACAAAAATTAAACACGATAGTGATGTAACAAACAGAAAATATACAAAGAGCAAATGTCACATTAGTATAGTGAAAGATGCCTTCTAGAATCTAAGCAAGGTATTAAAAGATAGGAAACTATTCTGAGAAACAAAAGAGTGCTGTAATGCTGTGTAATATCTAATCTATAATATGGCAATCTCTTCACAGATAAAGAAGAAACTTGAAGCAACAGATATGTGATTCTACTGACAAATGCTGAGAGTACCAAGGACAGAACATGTGAGCAATGAGGAAGTTGTAAAAAAAAATAGGAATTACAAGAAAGTGATAACTGAATTACTGGACCACATAATAAGGAAAGACAACCTGGAAAATTTAACACTCAAAAGGATATATTGAAGAGAAGACATGGGATGGGAACAGGAAGTAATCAACTTCCTGTTCCCCTGAAGTTTGAATGAATGGATGGCAGAACCTGGACAAATTTATGATTTGGTTGAGCTACCTTGGACATTCATGAGTCTATCATGGTCCTGCATCATGGGCAGAAGGTCATTAGGGGGGGCTTCTGTGTTATAACATAGCTGGTCAATGTAGGTGGTTGCTGGGCAACCAACCTGTCTTGCTCCATGTCCTGCAAAATGCATTCTGTGTTTGCATAAGACTATAGAGATATCAAGGATGGGTCCATAGAGCTATAATTTTGTTGGATGTTGTCTCCAGGAAATGTTAAGTATAGCTCTCAGCATCTGAGTGTAGGTTCCATCAAGCTTATACACCAGTTTTAGTTAATGTCCAGGCAGTGGCACCATACATTAACACTGCCTCTACAGTGGCATGAAAGAATCTCTGCTTGAGGTTTTCTGGTAGATTAGATTTCCAGATTACATCCATTTTATTCAAGGTGACCTTGGCTTTAGCTATGCAAATTTTCGCATCCTTTTCAGTAGAATTTATATCACTTCCTAGATATGTAAAAAGATTCAACAAAAAAAATGCATCAGGTGAATCAATAAAATCAATCAATTGACAAAATAGAATTTTTAAATAGTAGGGTAGACTGAGGTCTTTCACCTTGGGAGGGAACCAGTCTAGGAGAACTACTCTAAATTCATAACCATAGAGAAAGCAACAGAAAACCACACCAGTATCTTTCACAAAAATGCATGGCAATTCACAGATAATAAAGAAACAGAATATGTGGACAACCATGAACTCCTATGTCTCCAAAAGACATGAAATTAAAAAAAAAAAAAATATGGGTGAGTCAAATGTTACTTAGAACAACAAAATACAGGAATTTGTGGAGAACCATGATCGCCTATAACATGAAAGGAATTTTTTTTTTTGCTGTTGTTCCCCAAATACAAGGCTCAAGAGCCACTCAAGGTAGAGGGTTATTGAAAAAGGTTTTTGAAAGTAGATATCAGTTGAACGTGGACTTAAAAGCAGTTATTATAGTGATTCAGGAAGCATCGTCTTGGAGGTCTGCAAAGTAGAGGTTCTTGGGAAGAAGCAGTCCAAATGGAATTTACTTCTTACCAAAGTAATATGAAGATGATTCAACCCTGTATACATGGCATGGCAGATGTTAGCTGTGAAGGTCTGAACTGGTGGAAGTAAGGAATATAACTTATCTGAACATTTTTCATGGAAGTAGGAATAGAGTATTGGCAGACTCATGCTGTTTTGTCTGCAGGAAAGAGGTTGCTGGTTGAAAAATGATTCATTACCTATAGGGCCACGTAGACATGGCACATAAAAGAAGAAATTAATATGAATGTAATGGCCCTCAAATTG